TTTGTGTGTCAATTCTATGGAATAATACAGAAATGTTCAATGTTATTTTAACAATCGGACCTCGTGAAATTGTACCCAAAAATAACACACGAGCATAAAACAAATACAAGTATATCAAAGGGTTAGTAGAATGAATGAAAATTATTAAATTTAGCTGGAAATAAATTCCAATCATCAAGTTAGAGACCTACAATGCGAAAAAAATATGCTAACTCGATTAATGTTGACCATGGGTAAGAAAAAATTGCCAAAAATAATGTTGATAATTGAATAATTTTTAAACTTGTTTTTAAATTTTCAACTACATATAATATACATAGTGCATGTCCATAATAATATTTATGGAGTTAACTCGTCCGTTTCTACTTTTCAATATCGTGACGGGCGATGGCATTGGAGGAATAATCCAACAAAACGTGACCATCGCTACACGAAGTTCGGTGGTCGACTGAAACGAATGGTCGCGAAATTCGTCACCGGGATCGCGTTCGTCATTATTAACTCCAAGAACAACGGGAGGTGTATTTACGTATACTAGTCAAGTTCAGCACCTATAAATCTACTACATACCCTAGTTTAATTCAGCACTACATTCAAATCACATATTTATGTACTTATCATAAAAAATTACATTGTATAGTACTCACTTAAGTATATTACCTAGTTAATTATTTTTTCAATTTCCTCACAGTTTTCTTCATAATGAGGGTAAAAACGGGAATAACAACTTTTGTTATAATTTTCAATTTTTTCTGTTTGTTGTTATTCAATGAAAAATATATCATATAGATCCGACATAATCACCGAATCGCTTAGCACTTTATACAATTCTCAAAGTTTTGAGTAAATTAAAATTGTCCCATTCATACACACATAAAAAATTTCGTCAAAATCAGTCCAGCCGTTTAAGAGTTCAGTGACATAAACACGTACAGTAGAATTATATATATAAAGCTATACATCGTTTCAATAAAGGTACTTATATAATAATATTTAAAATATTGTTCTGAAAATATTTTTATTTTTTATTTCCTATGTCTGTAAACGGTTTAAACAACAGTTGTTTGTTGTTTGTGAGCAGTTGTTCAGATAGTTGTTACAACTCTTCTCCCAGAAATGTTACTGAAATCAAAAATGATAAGATAGGTTTTTTGTAAAATTGTGCTTTAAAGAGATGATTTTTTTTGATTCTCCTTGCTGTTTTCTAAATAATTTGGAGGGGGGGGGGAGAAAATAAATTGGAAAAACGGGAATTTTTACGGAAATAACGGTTTTGTTATTTTTAATTGTTTGTTGTTGCTGTAATTCAGTTGGAAATAAATGTGCAGATTTGATTACTTCATGGAACACTTATATTCATATATTCTTTTCAACAAATTCTGATGATTTCAGAGCAACTTATGATTATTTTACATTTTCGAATTTTGAATTTTCGAGACGTTGCTAATAAATTTGTTTATCACGGTTATAGGTCTACGTAACCGTGGTATTGCTTAAATTGCTTATTGTAATACCGTCCTAGACGATATTGATATAATACCTATTAACGACTTGTAATAAATTTTAATCACAATTCTCACGGGGGCGGGCGGTCACCCCCGACCCGCATAAGCCACGAGCCTGTTGTCGTCGCTTTTCTGCAAACTGCAATTTGTATTAATTCGTAATATCGTTGTTCAAATAAAAAACGATTAAACGTGAATTTTCATTATACAATTGAACGGTAAATTTGTAATTTTTTTTGCAAATTCTTTCCTTTAGTAAATAGTAATTTTATGGTCGATTCGAGAAAAACGCATATCGTTAATACGTGACCTACTCAACCGCATGAAAAAGCGGTCAATATTATTTTTTTGAACTTTGAAATGCATACATTTGTGTTGAGCGCCGTCTAAATCCAGATTCGTTAATTCTGGTAGAGAGGGGAAGGGGTTAAGTTTTTTTTTTTTTTTTTTTTAAACGTAAACACTCGCTACCCCGAATATATTCATATCGCTGTATTATATAGTTACAGGAGTCCCGCGAGTTGTAGAAAACGCGTAACAAATATAATTAATCGCGAACACATATTATACACGCAAAACTTTATTTTATATTATATTAATATTAAATTATCGGACTAAACGATACATTATGCAACGTTTTAAAATACGTATTCAAGTATAAACATGCACACACACACACACACACACACACACACACACAATAATATCATAATAAACGCATTTCGCTCGATTTTATAGTTTTAAATAACAATTACTCAGTTTCCGACTGTCATCGCATGCCGCTGCGTCGGCGTTTTCCAGCCCAACAAGTGGGTCGCTCTGTACGTTTTTTTGACGGACCACAAAATGTATGGTCGTAACGTTTTAACGTGCCGCGCTGTTGTTGTTGGCATTATTATTATTATGATAACGACTATTAATCTGAATTCATAGGTGGGCGCGATTATTTATGTTATGCGTTTAGTTTTACACGATAAAAGCGTATAATATAGGGTACAACACTCGCGTCGTATTATACGAGCCGCGTGTATAGTGTGTGCCGTTGAAGGGAAATCATATATATTTTTTTTTTCTTTTTCAAACACGTCTAAAAGTGTTATATATTATACAGTTGTTTTGTTGTTCTTTTTGTTGTTGTTTGATGGGTCGTTTGAACGAAAAAAAAAAAAAAAAAACACGGACTAAAACTGCAGCAGCTATATAGTCGAACGGCCGACGGTCACACAAAGGCTTCCGTTCGTTTAAATATCAGAGGAATAGCGGACTTTATAGGTCCCTTAGATAATATTACATATATATATATAGGGTAGGACGTGCTTTTATTTTCAGTGCACCCAAAGAGCATATAATATGTTACCGAAACGGTTACACGCAAGCGATAAACTCAGTGTTTGAAAAGTGATGACACCTAGCGATTTGGTATTTTGTCAATAATATAATATTCGCACGAAAAAAGTAGCATGTTTATAAGTTATACAGTATTAGCTCATGAACATCGTGGGACTTTGGCCCCACAATAATACCAAATAAATATGATTGACGAGGCTCTGTCTATGCACTGAAGGACTTCAGGAAACTCAGGGGGGGGGTACCGCCCAATGCGGTAGCAAAATAGACAGTCGTCTACGGCGGCACTAGTTTAAGGGCGGCAAATTTCGAATGAACCAATTTGATTAAAGTATTATATTTTCTAGTACACAGAAATGTATGTTCGTTGTTTAAAAAATACAAAAAAAAAAAATGATCTAATAATATTTCGTTTACCGCGGACGCGCCATAATCGTAATGCTGTACGCGCCAGAAAAGGATCGCGAAATAAATTTCTTTTAATATATTTTAGATTCTGAGTGGACCGAAGAAGAGTTTATGTTTTTTCACGTGTGCGCAACTTTTCTACCGGAAGGCTTGCCCAGATTTGTGGTACAAAAAACGATTATGGTTTTTCCGTAGTGATTGAAAGCGTCACGGAATTCTTATTTTAGTATTTTTCGATAACGATTTATAGGATTAATATGTTATAGAAAAAGTGGATTGGCGTACACTCTATCCTACAATTGGATAATATTTCGGTCTATGATCGAAAAATAAAATGATCACCTCGCTAAGCCCCGCAGGCGACAACCGATTCGGTATTTAATGGTAAAAAATCTGGGAAAAATGTCCAAAATGAAAACATCCGCATTTTGAAAGTATCCATGGTAAGTATACGTCGGCCGAAATTCCCCATGTCGAAAGCACTCGTGTACACATTTCGCCTACAATCACCTGCCGTCGCCAATGCAGTTTGATAAAGCGAATTCCGTTTGACGGGTGTATTGTGTCAACGCGAGTGCGTAAAAACGACACCGTCGATTTCGACGGTGTAAATTACATTTGATAAGCATGCTTTATGATGGAAAATAGAGGATTCGCAAAAACGTATTACCCGACTAGTTCGTTTGTTTCGTTTTTATCGGCGTGTATTTTATGTTATAATATTATAATCTGTTTGTCTGTTTAAAATAGATTTTTAAAAGCGGCTTTTAGACACTAAAATAATTACAGTCTTCGTCTTCGTCTCTCAGCGATAATGACGTAATATATAGTAAATTAACTACAAACCGTATTATCAGTATGGTCTTATTGCAAGTCCCGTTTCAATTCATCTTATCGCTGCACGCGTGTAGCGCACACGATTGCAGTCGCATGCAAAACGCTCGACAAACATCGATTGAAATGACGAGCTCGCATTTTGAATTCGGACGTTTTTCCGTCGATCGTATCGGTAGCGGTGGAAGACATAACCGCCGAAATGAGATGAGAGAAAAAAAAATCGTATCGTACAAAAGCGCCAACACTCTATACGCCGACAGTACGAGTATACTGCAGTGATAAACGTGTTTATTAACCGTTGTGTGAGCGATATTAAATCTAGAACTATACTATCGTTTACAAACCCCAAACGTTCAATGTTAATAGATAAAATTAACTATCTGATATTTTTAAAGACTGAAAAAAATCAACAAATTTGTTAAAATTATAATTTTTTTCATTTATCGCTGAATGAATTATTTTTTTCGGTTATTGAAAATTTTACAATTTTTTAAATACCTACTTAAATAAAACGTGTAAAATAATAATTTCGGCCGAAACGATATGTAATTTTTGCACATTTGGCGCTTATGTCGTGTAGCCATCGGTAGAACACCGGCGGTAACCTCACGTAACCCGGGGTACACGGGAAACCTCGTATATTATTATTATAAAGCATTTTTTTTTTTTTTCATTTTTTTTTTTAACGGGAGAAATAAAATATTAAAACGACCGGCGGTTGCAGCGGTGCTAGGCCGCGCTTAACGAGCGAGGGGGAGGGGTAAAGGGGAAGGCGGCGAGGGATCGGGGTTGAAACCGTCGGGAGGGGTAGGGGGGGTTCGGAAGGGGCGGCGACGGGTACAGCAGCAGAACCGCCCGGGCGGCGTTCCGCAAAGCGTACGGCACGCACACACGGTCTCCGCGCGCCACGCCGCACGGACGTAAACGCGCGCCACCGCAGAGACAGCACCGTCACGTTTTCGGACTCGTCGTCGTCGCCAAAACCGCACGACGTTCGGCGCTCGCGCACGTATCGGCCGAACGAAAACACCGACAATAGCGTTCGAGTAAACGCCGTCGTTGTTACCCGCGCCGGCCAGAGCGCAGACGACACAGATAACAACGATCGTCGTCGTCGTTGTTGTTGTTGTTGTTAGCGTTGCCGTTAACCGGCCCGACCGTTCGGCCGTAAAACGCCGTGTAAACCGAGCGTCGTTACGCGGGCCGCTTGGGCAACAGGTTCGTCCGCGCGCAGACGGGACGCCAGCACGGCAGCGAGCGCGATCCGACGGTAACGGAACGAGAACAGCGAGCGGCGCGTAACAGCAGCGCCGATAATAAATGTTATTGTTGTATAGGTCAGCGACCGGACGACGCCGGGACCGAGGGCCGCGGGGAAATATGGTGGCCGGCCGTTATCGCGGGTGAACATCCAGTACCGCCGGTGACGACGCTATTATGGTCATCGAACCGGGCCTGATCGACATGCTCGGCAACTCGCTGTTCGACGTGCTGGCCCCGGTCACGTCGTCCACCGAGTCGTTCGCCGGGGCCGTGTCCGCGACGTCCGGCGGGTCGTCGGGCACCGGCGAACCGGACGCCGCCGGGGCATCGGCGTACGACGACGGCTCCGGCAGGGACGGCGGCAAGGACGCGCAGGGTGTCGACGAGATCTGGTACAGGCACAGCCCTGCCATGACCGCGTTCTACTGTTTCGGGTACACGCTGGTGTTCCTGGTCGGGATGGTCGGCAATCTCCTGGTGGTGTCCGTCGTCTGCCGGTCGCCGCGTATGCGCAACGTCACCAACTTCTTCATCGTCAACCTGGCCATGGCCGACATACTGGTGCTCGTGTTCTGTCTGCCCGCCACCCTGCTGTCCAACATCTATGTCCGTGAGTCGAAAAAAAAAAAACATAAAATATAATAACGATAAAAATAAAAATCTCGATATTATTTTCCCAGCGCGTTATTCCGCGGGTGTTGCGCGTAAAGGCGATTTCAACGGCATTTGAAAATAAATCGTATCCACGTAGCTTCAAACGGTTATAGTTTCAAACGCCCGTGTAATAGTCGCGAGCATGGCCGTCAATCAAGTGTACAGCAAACTCGAAACTAATTCAATATACGCGTAAAACCGACAAAAATAAATAAACACCAATCGAAGTTGATTTGGAGATATCTGAATAATTAATACACCAGAAATAACTTTTGAAATCACAGAAAGGACCTATTTATGACTGATATTTTAAGAAATTTGCTCGGAGAAATTTTCTTCTAAACATTTTTTTTTTTTTTTTGTATAAAGGAATGGAATTTATCCCTACGTGAAATCTGTTTGAAAGACCTTTTGTCTGTTTTACGCCGACGTGTTTTTACCGCTAAAAATCATCGGCGTGACGTCTTAACAACGATAAAAAAAAAAATAAAATGAAAATAACGAACAACCGCACGTTTATTTCGAGAGACTCTCAGAATTAATTTTTACGTTAATTAACAAAACTTTTACGGGTATTTCCTATTATGCTCGTGGCCACGCCTCACGTCTATGACAGGTAACGCACACCGTCCAAGTCGGTACTATGGCGTACTGAAGAGGTTTTTTATTTCATGGATGTTCAAAATAGACAGTTTGGACGAATAAAAAAAATATATACAAACTTTTCAAACTTCAAAAGGTATTTCTCGAATGGCCAACTGGGAAAATACTAAAAAAAATTAACGGCGAGGCGTACATTTCTTTGCTTTGGTGATGATTCACGATAACGTTCTTTAACAGACATCTCGTCAGTGACGGATTCTCCGTTTAATAAGAACTGCACTGTGAATTCTCTAGCGTTTTGACCAGCACGTCGAAATGCAAGAAAAAAAAAAAAAGAATCTGTATTATTTTAACCGATTGCGTTTTCTACTTTCCGTCGATTCTGTTGTCGTCATCTGCAATTCTAAAACTCGGTTAACTATCTCGACCTATAATTATTTTAACAGCGAACCAAATCCGGGAAGCACATATAATATGAATATAATAATTACGATGGGGGGGGAAATCGTTACCCGGGGGTGAGACACTCCCACAACCTATGATGTGAGAGGGGGCAGACAAGTAATGTATGTTTTTGATGGGGAGGGCTTTTTGTGATACACCGGCATACATTTTTTTAAATCCCGATCGCGTGATCCGGAAATACTGACCTGATCTAACCTGACCTTCCACAATATTATTTCGGATCGGCCAATCGGATAATTTTCGTTTTTTGTTTTGTTTTGTTTACGTCCGGGCGTGTCTACCGCCGCCGCGGCCGTTACCATCGCCGTAACCGACCACGACTACCCGTCTAACTGTGTCGCACCTTTCTCGTTGGATTTAAGCCGCAATTACGGGTTTTCGACAACGGCGAATATGGCGACGTGAAAATAATTGATTTATACCCGCCCGAAACGCGTAAACAAATCCTTAGATTGTGTCCGGGCGGGACATAATATGCGTCTCGCCGGCTCGCAATTACCGCTGACAGCGGTTGGGCGAATAGTGTAAATGGCTTTAAAACAAAAACAAAACGAAACAAAAAAATTTATTCACGTCTAAAAAAAAAAAAAAACGTCGTCGGATCGTTTTAAATAGGTTCGCCTACCAATTATTATTGTATCGTTAGAGGACTGCGGTACCGTCGCCGACAAGTCTCCGACGACGGAATTGATTAATTTACGGCGATGCTCGCGGTGTTGTAAGCACGCGTAATTACGGCCGCAGACCGATCCTAATTATTAAATTTCGTCAAAATCCAACTTCGCCCGCGCACACTTTATAAATAATTCTGGTATATTTGTACAATAACATCGTGCGAATCGAAACGGGATTTACTTGGTTTCTTGCAAATTTTTTTTTTCGTTTCAAGGTTCAGCATCTATCCCCGAAAACTGCAAAAACGGATCGCTATTATTCACGTCGCAGTACTGTTTTCCGGGTTGAAACTTTGTTGGATCCATATGAACGATCGAAAATTCGTGACCGAAAAGCACAAACTGTTTCTAATGTTTTCTAAAACGAATTTTATAATGTGACGACAGTGAGAGATTAATCCGCTCGGAGCGCTAGAGAGAATTTACCCAAAGCAGTGATAAGAGCGGATTCAGTTCAGCGTTCGAAGCCCGTTGGGCATCCATACTATATTCTGCATAAAGTCATTGTACAAATCTAATTCGTGGTCAAAAATGCAACAAAAGATAAAATTATTAGGCTAGGTTACTTTCAAATATACAGGACTGGATGATCAAGGGGGGGGGGTGCTGCTTAGGGGGCTATTTACTCAGGTCGCAAGTTAAAAGAGGCCACACAATGTGTGTTTTTGTTGATAACCTTTGTTTTTTTTTGTTTTTTGCTTATTGTTTTTTATCCCCGGGCTCCCATAACCCATAATCCGACCCTGAATATACTACGGAAGCTGACGCGCGCAACGTATGCTTGGCTAGTTTTTCCTCGTTTTTCTAGAAAAAAAACCACTTTAACCGCTGCAATCGTTCAGCGCATTGTTATAATTACTATTTCCAATTTTGTTTTGTTTCTTTGTAATCGGGGTCCGCTTTTTAACGATATAATAATTGAGAGACGGCGTTGCATTCGCCGGGTATTGAGGAAACAAAATAATAATTATTAATTATTTTTAATTAGCTACCTCCCTAGCTAATATTTTGTATAGACTAGTAATATAAAAAAAAAAAATGTACTACGTTCGTACACGGGAAAAACGAAAATACAAACACCATTTTTTTTCGACAATTATTCGTATATAATTAAACAATATCATACAAATTAATTGACATTAATTTGAAGTGGAAAGTTTTAAGTGGGGATGCCAGGACGTGATGTTGTTCTCTCTATTGAAAAAAAAAAAAAAAATCCTCCTAAATTATACTCCAATTTATAGCTCGCGAAAAATTCAAAATATAATAAATAAACGTGTTCGTTATAATGTTATAATAGTGTACAGTTTTGTCACCGTCGGCACCGGAATGGAAATGTAATAATTTAATCCCGTTTTGAATTTCAAGTATAGTCGTATAATATATATATATTGTAGGTTTTATAACGCGTTTGGGTTTTATTTTATTGCAAAAATCTTTTTCGCGGCAGTATTACAAAGCGTTTCGTAAAATTTCACGTCTCTGAACTGCAGTAACGCCACTATAAACCGAACACTGTGGCCGCTTATGTTGTATACGTGATCGTAAACGGCAAAATGCGTAGGTTACCTTTTCCCGTTTAACGAAATCTCGCAGACAGTCTGCGCGTAATACACTTGAACCGGGTTTTTTTTTTTTATTATTTAAAAGATTCATGTAAACTATTGTTATTCTAATCGAATAGGTTGTGTTAGGTTAGTCCGTCCAACGGTCATAATCATTTACCACCACAAAAGAGCCAGTTTTCCTTTACGGTTATGTTTTATTTTTATTTTTCGCGTACCTCGATTCCACTCAATTATCAAAATAGGATTACTTTTTACCCTATTATATATTACACAATTCATAATCTGGCCTAGAAAATTTCCTTATAACAATTATACAACTCCGTTTTCTTTGTCTGCGTCTCATATCCAAATTACTCTTATTCTCGCTCTCTAAGTATTCCTTCCCATTACCGTTTCTTCGTTCAATCCACGCGGTCTCAGAATTTTTTTTTTTTTTTGTGGTCAAATACAGTGCAAATAAACGAGAAATTTAGGCGAGGTAAATACACTTTAATATTACGGACTATAGCAATAGGTTATGGGCAAATCATCGGGATTACGTATATCTGGAAATTTTTTCTTTGCCGGACGAACACCAACAGTAAAAGAAAAAGGTATCAACATTTTCGGAGTGAAACGACCTCGGGCGTCCGTCAGACTGTACAGATTACCGTGTAGTTCGTCCTACTGTCATTATTCGTCGTCCCCGTATTTTATTCCCGGGCGTTTTTCTTTTCGCTTTGTACAAACATGTAGTACCATTAAACGTGTACACGCCACCGGTTATTGCTTTTTCAATATTTATCGGCACGGCACCGTGACACATTTCGAGAGAAAAGACGACTATTAAACACAAACTATAGGTACTGCGCGTAAGCATCACTTTTTTTCTTTCTTTCTTTTTTTTTTTTTTATTAATCGCGTTTACCGCAATGCAGTTTGGCCGTCAAACGCCGCACCGTGAAAACTCGTGTTGAGATTGTTTAGATAAAATCTTCGAAAATATAACATATAATTTTGATAATAACATACTATCTTTTACCTAGGAAAAACCAAATGATATCATCTTATCATTATTTTCTTAATCATTTTTAGCGAATACGAAAAAATTAGAATAAACCAAGTATTATAACTACATCATAACATGATCATTTAAAAAAAAAAAAAATTGGTTTATTAACAAATATATTGTGTAGTATTACGTATTTACATTACAAAAATACTATGCCGTGTTCTAAAACCTATCTTAACATGATATCTTTACTATATTCGTATGTTAACCAGATAACTGAAAATCATCTTAGATAAATCGTTGGTCGTCGTCAAAATTTTACCTAGATAAAAATATCGGTTATCATTTCCCCAAACACTGTTCACACGAGTTTAGTTTTCAATCGTTTCGCCGCTGGTTTTACTTCGTATTACTTCGCACGATGTAGCCAGCGAAATAACGACTGCAGATATAAAGAGTATAGTACATTAATATAGTAAATCGCCAATAGAATTGCAAAAGTTTACAACAACACGCGTATAACTTGTTCGTATATTTGCGGGATTACTTTGGTTTGTCTATTATAGTTTTCTCTTTCGTGTCCCCACGTACAACTTTTTCTATACGTCATATTTTCACATGTTGATTATCGAAAAGAAAAAGCATTATAACCCTCGTAACATTATAAGCGAGGATTTTGATTTTATT